TTTTTTCTTCTTCTTCTTTCTTTTGTGGTTAACCAAAAAAACCAATTAAAATCAAAATATTCGATCACAAAATTTATATGTAGTCTAGAGCTGTAAATGAACCGAACGTTCGCGAACAAAAGCTCGTTCGAGCTCGTTCGTGTTCGACACAAGCTCGTTCGTTTATTAATCGAGTCGAGTTCGATCAGAAAGTTAGGCTTGTTTAATAATCGAACGAACACGAGCTCGTTCGTGAACATTCGATTATGTTCGCGGACATTTATTTAATATAATTTTATTTAATTTTTTATATATTTATATAATATTTTTAATAAAAATCTAGAATTTAATATAATTTTATTTATTTTTATATATTTACATAATATTTTTAATAAAAAAATCTAAAATATAATTTTTTTTTAATTTTATTCTTTTATTTTTGAGTTCGAACGAGTTCGAACGAATAAATTTCGAGTTAACCAAACATATTTTAAAAGTTTATATATTAAATTATTCGAACACGAAAGAACTCGAACTTTGACGAACAACTAAACGAACGAACTCGAACACAATTTTTTGCTCGAAAAATAAACGAACGAACACGAACACTGTTCGAACGTAAACGAACACGAGCTCGAACAGCCCAAGCTCGGTTCGATTCATTTACATCACTAATCTAGTCTAATCTTTGGAAATTACAACGACAGAATTAATTAATAAAATATTTAAATAACTCAAGTTTTTACCCTAAATTGACTTTTTACTTATTTTTAACATATACTAGAATTAGAGTTCGGCTTAACTCGTTTGTCAAATGAGTCTAACTCGAGCTAGTTTAGCTTACTATTGACTTCCAGCTCGACATGTTAAACTGTGAGTTTACCTCGTTGTTACGGACAAAAGAGTTGAACTTGAACTTGACTTAACTCAACTCAACTCAACGCGGTAAAAAATTTGAGCCAAAGTCAATTATTAGAAAAGTAAGTTTGAGTCAGCTAGTTTACGATCAGACCTGTAAACGAGTTGAGCCTGATTCCGCTCATTAAGTAGACAAACTAGAAATCAAGTTCACGCTCGGCTCGTTTATCAATATTATCGAGTCGAGTTTGAACCTTAACGAGCCGATCTCAAACTTTAACGAGTCAAACTATAAAATGTTATATAAAAATTTATTTTCGAGCAATATCGAGTCGAGCTGAGCCGAACTTTACTCATTAACAAAATGATCTTTAAGCAAGCTCAAGTTTAACTCATTTATCAAACGAGTTAGAACGGAATTCGAGCCGAGCTGAACTCATGACTTGTTCCTTTCTTTTAATAGCTTTATTAAGGGTAGTTTTTTTAGAGATACTTTTTTAGTTGCCATATGAGGCAAGTGGGACAAATTTCTCCCACCCATTTTTTTTATTTCCGTGGCTCACATTTTTTTAACACACTCTTCAATTTCTCCATGATTTTCCTGGTTTATGCAGCCGTCTAGGTAAGCCTCGACACAACATTTAGCTCCAAGCTTCAATTGTAATTGCTAATTATGTTCTTTTTTTTCATGTTTGATAAATTTTATGATTAGTGACTCGAAAGTATCTGTGAATAGCTATGTTTTGATTGCTGGGGTTTGTTCTTGATGGGAATCTACTTCAGTAGTTTGTTATATTTTCGCTGTTAAATATGAGGGAGATTGAATGAGCTGTAGTGGAGTATCTTTATAAGATTCGTTTGATTTATTTGGTTGGTAATGGGGTTTTCAAGCTTGGTGTTTTCATCGGAATTTTTCGTATCTGTTGATGTCTGATTGAGGTTTTATTGAATTAATGGTGTTCACGAACGTTCCATTTATGACTCAGAGATGCACCTGTGTAGTGCAGACAATGCTCTGTATTTTCTTCCTTCCCTTGAGTGCTCGACTGGTGGTTGAATATGCATACGTTGTTAAAAGATTGGTTCTTGCAGACCTCTTATTTGATTGTCGACTTCTTGTTCGTTTCTAGTTGCTGATAAGGTCTGTAAGTCCAGAAGAATTGAATTAGTCAATAATTAGTATCAGAATGATCGATGATTTGTTGTTTAAAGCACAATTCCTACAAACTACTTGCAAAAAAATGTTCTCCAGGTGTTTGTGTGTGTGTGTAGATTTATACGTTTAAATTTTGTTCTTGAGATAAGAGATTGAGGGGATAAAATGATCTTGAGTAGGGTGTTACCGGTTATATATATATATATATATTATGCTTGGTTGTTGGGGTAATGTTTTATAAATGAGGGTGACTGTTTTAGAGTTTGCCGGTAGCATCATCTTAATATTTTGATTCTAGGGCATACTCATAGGTTTTATTCCTAACCACTGGCTCTGGCCTAAAGTACATAAACATAAAGATTGTGAGAATAGTTCTAATTTTACACGACTAGAATGGCTTGACCTTTGCCTTGGTTTGAGAACTAAGTCAATGACTAATATTCCAAGAAAAATCAGGAAGGTAATCAACTCCTGGAATTTGAAGCTTCAAAATAAGAAAATCGAGTAAGCTTAACCATAATTCTAATAAAAGCCGACCAAATAAAGAGTTATTAACATATTACTGTTGCTTTGTCATTTTTTTTGGGTACACTTTCATCACTTCTTATACTGCATTCACTTTTAGTCTGCACTTATTTGTTATACTTATGGTGTGACTTTTATGTACAGATGAAAATCAATTATCTGATCAGCTGACAGTATGGACGAGGCAATTGGTGATGAGGTAGCTGATCATGTTACCGGCACACATGTCCCTAACAAAGATAATGGATTTTCACCAATACCCGGTAGCTCCGGCTTGCTTCAAATAAATGAAATGGCGCCACCTGGCGCAAATGATTATCACAGTAACCCAAAACATCAACACTCAGGAATTTTGGACGCGAAAGACCAAGACAGGATTGTTTCATCCGAACATGCCAGCACAAGTCCTCGCTGTCTGAATAATGCCGGGGTCATGGTTGAGGAGCTAACTCTGAGTAATTATGATGGCGAAAAGTTGACGGTAGTGGGTGCTTCTAACAACAGAGAGCGAATGCTGACTGGGCAAAACCAGTGGCAGAATTTATTCCAACTTTCTGGTGGGTCCCACAAAGGAAAGGGTCAGGTGACTTCAGGTGTACGGGTCGATGGCAGCAATAATAATATTTTTGCCGATTTGTTAAATGAAAATCAGCTGCCGCAAAACTACAGTCACAAGTCTAGTGAGAAAAATGTTTTGAGCAATGATGATAAAGGTGCTTCAGGTGAACCTTCACTCCTTTCTGGAGGCTTCCGGACGAAAATGCTATCTAAATCTGGGTTTTCTGAGTTTTTCACAAAGAGTTCACTGAGACATAAAGGGGTAATACATAGAAGGAAAGCTGACGGAGGATCTGGTTCTGAACGGGGTTTGAAAAATTCTGTTGCCCCATTAAATTTGACCCCCAAATCGCCCCTTCTGGCTATTTCTAGAAGTATCTGTGATGGGGTAAGTTTAAGGGAATGGCTTGAAGCAGGTGGAAAGAAGGTAAGTAAAGATGAGAAGATGCATATATTCAGGCAGGTTCTTGATCTTGTGGATATTTCGCATTCTCGTGGCGTTCCACTTCAGAACCTGAGGCCTTCTTGCTTCAAGCTTTCTGAATCACACCAGGTCGTGTACTTAGGATATTTTAATGCATGTGAGGGAACCAGAGAAAATGTAAGGGATCAAGATATTCATCGAAATGAAAAGAGGCCAATGAATCAGAACATCCTCCCGTTGGACAATCACACCGTGAAGAAGCATAAATCGGGTGAAAATACAAAGTTTATTGAGAGCTGGCCCCAGTTTCCATCGAGGTCTGCCATTAGAACTGCTTCTTTAAGTATTTCTGGTGTAGAGAGAGCCCACACTCGGGAACTCAGCAGTAATTTAGATGAAGAGAACAATCATAAGGCTGAGATTAAGAGCCTCAGAAAATTTTTCAGCAACCCTGCTCCTAATGCAGCACAAGTATTACAGGGTTCAACAAGTTTTATGTTGGAAGAGAAGTGGTATTCGAGTCCTGAGTTGTTCAGTGAGAAAGGCTGCACCTTTGCATCAAATGTCTATTGCTTGGGAGTCCTTCTATTTGAGGTTCGTGTCTTCATGAATGACTTGCTCCTTTTTTCTTGACTGTGCTAAACTTTTAACAGACACCTCTGGAGGTGACATCCATGATTATAAAATCATGATTTACTTCATGGCAGCAGTGATTGTAATTTCATGAAGATAAGAATTGTGGGTATATATGGAGATCATCTTCTAACTTTGTAGTTCAAAAAAAAAAAAAAATTTAGGTATCATTTTGTAGATCTTAGTGCGATATAGAGATAATAGATCTTGATACATAGCGTCATACTTTCTACAAACGGGGATCCATAAAAAAATCTGGACTTCAAGAGAAATTTATAAGTTATTGAATTGGTTCTTCGTTGGGACTTAGAACTGATGCCATAATTTTTAAGATGGCATTAACCATTTCAGGTTTATGCTTATGGGTTCAAGTAATCATTATATTCAGAGGCATTTTTTTTTACACTAATACGAACTGTACTTCCAGTTACTTGCCTCAGGTGATTCTGGAAGATCCCATGTTGCTGTAATGAATGATTTAATTCATAGGATTCTTCCACCTAGGTTTCTTTTGGAGAACCCCAAGGAAGCTGGATTTTGCCTTTGGTTACTTCATCCTGAGCCTTCTTTACGCCCGTCAACCAGGTACTTTCATCATCTCTATTTAGGACTTCAGAGTTCATAATGTATTCACCAGGATCCTTAACTTATGTCTTATCGGTTGCATGTAAATTACAATATCAGTCAAATTTCTTATGATGATCTGATTATGACTTGGCTACGGAGGTTAATGAAGAATATGAAAAAAAAAAGAAAAAAAAAAAAAGAAAGAAAGAGAGAAAATGATTAAACGTGTTTGAATGAATAAATATGTTACACATACGGCTGTAATATGTTGGACTAAACCATGATTCAATAGATTATAGGAACTTAAGGAAGTGACCAATGCCATAACCTCACATTTCAGAGTAAGTATTCATGAAGGATCATGTAGATTTTAATGCAGCAGTTAGACATTGCAGTGTTTCTTTTTATCGGCATTTTTAAGATTTTCTTTATGCAGCTGACGGTATGTGAATTGCTTTCAGACCTTTTGGGTTGTGAGTGATCAGTTGACTTTAATAACTATTGCATAACAGAGAAATTTTGCACTCTGAATTTATGTGTGCAACTGAAGAATTGAATGGAGGCGAGATACTGTCATCCATTGATGAAGAAGATGAGGATTCGGAATTGTTGTTACATTTTCTGTCATCATTGAATGAGGAAAAACAGAAGGATGCATCCAATTTAGTGGAACAAATCCTGTGCATAGAAGCTGATATTCGAGAGATTGAGAAACGGCGACAAGTGGGTCCATCTACCAATGGAGGGAATGCAAGTTTAGATGCATCCTCAAAGATAGCCTCTACAAATGATACAGAAACAAGGTTTATGAGTAATATAAAGCAACTTGAAGATGCTTACTTGTCAGTGAGATTGGACATTCAGCTCTCGGACAGCGGTATCGCCACACAAAGGGATGTAGAGCTTTTGAAAAGTCGTGAAAGCTGGTGCACTGTAGAAAATGAAGACAGTTACAAAGCTATAGATCGTTTAGGAGGCTTTTATGATGGGTTATGCAAATACGCTCGCTATAACAAATTCAAGGTACTAGGGGTGATAAGGAATGGAGAATTTAACAGCTCTGCAAATGTGATTTGCTCCTTGAGTTTTGACCGGGACGAAGAGTATTTAGCTACAGGAGGGGTATCAAAGAAGATCAAGATTTTTGAATTTCGGGGTCTCTATAATAACTCTGTTGACATTCATTATCCAGCCGTTGAGATGTCCAATTGGTCGAAACTAAGCTGCATTTGCTGGAATGGTTACATCAGAAATTATCTTGCTTCAACGGATTATGATGGCGTAGTCAAGGTTTGTGGTAGACTTAATTTGAATTATCCCAGATGTCAAAATATTGTCTGCTTGTGCAATGTGTTCGAGTTTGAAACCAGGGCACTTTGCTAACTCTTTAAAACTGCTGAATATGTAAAAAAATAAAATAAAAGAAAATAATAATAATAAAAGGGAAAAATGAACAGAAACGGAAAGGAATGAAATAAATGACGACCTTTTTCCCTGAATATAGTTTATTTAATCTTTTAAGGTTAATACACTTCATGTCATTGATACTTCCATAATTGAGTTCAACATGGCTTGTTGTGGCACTCATATTTCTGGATATGATTCTCGTTAGTGTAGCCCCAAGTTCAGGCTCTATTCCTTTGTTAAATTGTTTGACGTTCTAAAATGCTATCTTGTCTTACCTCTTTCATCATCTTCATCATTATCATCAGCAGCATTATGGTTGTTGTTATTATAATTATTATTAAAAGAAATCTTTAGCCTGCTGACCAACTTATTGGAATGTCATAGTTGTGGGATGCATCAACTGGTGAAGCATTTTCTCAATTCGCGGAGCATAATGAAAGAGCTTGGTCTGTTGATTTCTCTCGTGTTGATCCCACGAAGCTAGCCAGTGGCAGTGATGACCGTTTGGTTAAAATTTGGAGCATCAATGAAGTAAGAAATTTCCATTCCCGATTTTATTTTTCCGAAAAGCTTTCAACTTTTCCATCTTCTGATTTATTTATTTTTTCTAAATATTTGTTGTGCTTTCATCCGTAACTTGTATCATCTCCTTGTAAGAAAAAATCCTTCATTGGCCGGCTTATTCACACAACTGATTGTTTATCCTTTTTTCATGCAGCGGAGCAGTTTATGCACGATCAGAAACAATGCCAACATCTGCAGTGTGCAATTCTCCCCTTATTCCACTCACTTGGTGTCCTTTAGCTCAGCCGATTACAAAACATATTGCTTTGATCTCCGAAATGTGTCCATTCCTTGGTGTGTGTTGGCCGGCCACAAAAAAGCAGTTAGCTACGTGAAATTTTTGGATGCTGGGACTATCGTCTCTGCATCTACTGATAATACATTGAAGGTTTGGGATCTAAAGAGGACTAATACCGACTCTTTTTCGAGGGATGCTTGCGTGTTGACTCTCAGAGGGCACACTAATGAGAAGGTCTGTTTGGTTTGTTGGTTTGGTAAAATGTTTGTGGCTTTTTCCTTGCCTGAATCTGTGAAATTTTTTCTCTTGCAGAACTTTGTTGGCATGTCGGTTTCTGATGGATATATAGCATGCGGTTCAGAGACGAATGAGGTGATTCTCTCTTTTAACTCACCCTTAAAGATATGCGAAATCACCAAGGAAAAAAAAAAAAAAATCTTTTGGATCTTGAACGTATCCTTTGCATGTGGCGAACTTCATGATAGTTATGGATGTTCCACTGTTATCCTATGTGTTTGTGATTTCATTCACCTCAAGTGTTTTTTTTAGCCCTTTATCTTTTTCAATTGGCTGGAGCAAGTCCAATCTTAGGGTGTGTTTATACAAATTTTTAGCCCTTTATCTTTTTCAGTTGGCTGGAGCAAGTCCAATCTTAGGGTGTGTTTATACAAATATATCCGCTCAAAACTAGTTTTTTTGGTTAACCAAGGTTATTTTAAAAAAGGTGGTACGATTAGTTGTTAGTGTGATTTTGATTTTATATTAAAATAATATTTAAAATAAAATAATTAAAGTCGATTTGATATAAAAGTATGAGAAAAATGATATGAAGTGATGGTTAGTTAAAATTATGTGAGTAGATGAATAGTGAATTACAGTTGATGTGATGTGTAAGAGTGATTGGTTGATAATATTTAGTTATATTTATAATATCGAGGATAGTGAGGTTGAGTTAAAAACTGAGTTAGATTTTGAGTATAAATTGAGTGTTGATTGAGTTTATTTATATACAAAAACACGGCCTTAATGTCTGCATTTCTGCATATATGCCTGTAGGTTTACGCCTACCACAAATCACTTCCCATGCCAATTACTGCCCACAAATTTGGATCAATTGATCCCATAACCGGTAAGGAATCTGACGACGCCAATGGGCAATTCGTCTCGAGTGTTTGCTGGAGACACAAGTCGAATATGGTGGTTGCTGCCAATTCATCCGNNNGTATCAAACTTCTTCAGTTGGTCTAAGAGTTCACTCTCTTCTCATCGCCAAGTGAATTTCATTCTTTTACCGGAATTGGGTTAGTCGAGCATTACTGCCGTTGAGCTATGTAGAGATGAAGCTGCTCGTTTAACTATCAGAAGATGAGGAATTTATTTGTTCATCCATTTTTTTGCAGGATTCGCTTGTTGATATCCGGAGAAAAAAAAAAAAAAAA